CCGTGGGACTTCTGTAGCCTTCTCCAACACCATCATCCGGAGGCATTGCTGCTTCTCTGTCTTCCTTGTCCACCGTCCGGCGGCGTTCACATGCACACAAGGCCAACGTCAAAGTAACGTCCTGGCTAGTCAACCCTCTCAAGAGGTCTTGTGCAGCAGATTTGCCCCATCCAACATGTCATTTTGATAAAGGGGATGAAAGAGTTCGTCTACTGTTCATCAAAATACTAGAAACATAACGAAATCGAAGATGGAGCTTGTTAATGATCCAAAATGTAACAAGCCCCGCCCTTGAAGTAAAGATTTGTTCGGTAGCAGAACAGGGACCAGGGTGTCCACCTGGGCATGCGCCAATTCAGGCCAGGGGTGGCAGGGGGGTGAGGGGGGTGTGAAGGGCAATACACCTAAGTGGGCGGTGTACCTGGATTAGCCCAATCTAGGCCAGGTGGGCTTAATTCAGCCAATGGGTCAACCAGTGCCGTTGGCCATGCCTCCCAGCCAAAAGACCCAAAAAGGCTGGACCCCGAAGACCACCCCTTCTTTTCTCCCTGGACCCGGGAGACCACCCCCTTCTTTTCCGCTGCTCCTCTGCTTCCATTCGGCCATGTTGCAGTCTCTCTCTCTCTCTCTCTCTCTCTCTCTCTCTCCCCTCAGGCTGCCACATGTGTGAGATGTGTGAGGGTGCAGTCCCGTGCAGTCCCGTGTTTACATTATTATAAAACCTGAAACTTCTATCTTTTATAAAAACTCACTTGGACCACAAACCAGGCTCCGGCGTGAATTTCTTTCTCATGCAAAGCCAAGAATCAAGATATTCCCCACCCAAGTAATCTAATAGATTCCTTTTACAAGGGTGGGGAGGGAGGGGGCGGAAAAGGAGCTGATACCAAGGGTTTGAATAGAAAGAAAGCGTTTTGAAAAGGAGGAGGGCAATATATGTAAAAATGTACTTAGCACAATGGATGGATGGATTGTTACAAGAGCTGTAAGAGCCCCAGTAAAATTATTTATAAATAAATAAAAGTGTTTTTTTTTAAGTTCCTCTTAAACTGAATAAGGCTGGTCTAACCCAAACGGAAGAACGCAGGGCATTTAGATAAGCAATGCAGCCTGAGACTTCAGGGGCTGCAAGTCTGCTCCCCCCGGAGAAATGTAGATGGTTCTCCAGGAAGCCCGCTCCTTTGGTCTGCCCATTATCTCCTGAGGACGTTGCAAACCTGTTTTTGTCACATAGTTTAAGGTAAAGAACTTACTAGATTTTCACTGAAATTTTGAAGCGTGTTGGAGATAGCAAACCCCACTGCTTTCTTCTCTCATGCACTTGCAGAATAAACTCAGAGTTTCTCAAATCAACCTGGGCTCAGTCTTTGGCTGACACAGTGACGGCCATTCCCAGGCCCCTATTCCACACAACAATCTGATTTCTTGGCTGCTGCTTCCAAGAGCAGATACTGAGGATCCACACAGGATGTAAACCTGCCATTTGAACCCAGACCTGAAGAGTGTCATCACGTCGCTGGATGGCCTCCCTGCCCGTCTCACTCGGAGGGGTCAGGGGCTCTGAGGGAGCTGCCAGCAAGACCAGTTTATGCTGGACTGAACCACAGTGGACAGGGTTGGCAAGTGCCAGGACTGGCAAGCCCAGAATCAGGTAAGACACTCTCTTGAGTTTACCATGTGACTAAGTGCTTCCTGGGTATTCTGTGGGCACACACACACACACACACACACACTAGCCTGTCCTGCCTCATCCCCTGCTTCTCTGGGGCTCCACCTTACATCCCAGGAACATATAACTGTTTCTAGGTCTCCCACACACCAAGTTCCTTTGTCCACTGTTCCTGTTGCCTACCCTACTATTCCCATCGTTTGCACCTGAACTCAGTGTCCAAGTCCCTGCTTAGAGGTCATCGTTGAGCATTCTTAATGACCCTGAGCAGCCGGCGGCTCAGGGCTGCCCCAAGCGGGTCAGAGTAGAACTGTGCCCCAGAGGCTCTTCACTGGCCAACTTTTCCAGCGTGGATCTCCAGGCCTCTCTTCCAGGGCCCCTTGGCATCTACTGGAACTGCCAGTGGGCAAGTACATGAACATGGGCACCACTCAGCTTCTCCAGGGAGCATAAAATGAGGAACCAGCTTCTTTTCCAGTTATAAGCAGGAGGATTGGGCCTTCGTGTTTTGTGTGATGTGTGCTTCCCATTAACCCAGTGACAACATCGGCACATTACCCGTCTGCCATAGAAAAAAAAAAAACAACTCACTGCTGTCAAGTCATGAACTCCACACTCACTGCCGACAAGTCCATTCCAACTCAGAGTGACCCTAGAGTACAGGGCAGAACTGCCCTGTGGGCTTCTAGGACTGTCACTCTCCATGCGAGCAGAATGCCTCATCTTTCCCCTGAGAGCAGCTGTTGGTTCTGAACGGTCAACCTCGTGGTCAGAAGCCCAACAAATAGCCCATTATGCCACCAAAGCTCTTGTTGAGGCCCAGGGGTCTAATTAAAATTAAAAACACCAAGGGGGCTTCAAGAGGGTGATGGGAAAACTCCATTGTCTTCCATTCTATTTACCCACAAACGTTTTGAAGCCCCTCACATGTAACCCACTGCCCTCCAGTCCATTCCAACGCACCACAGTCCCGCGGTCAGAGAACGGCTCTCCACAGGGTTTCTGAGGCTGTCAGTCTGTCTAGAAGCAGTGCATCATCCTTCTCCTGTGCACTGGCTGGTGGCTTCGAACCACGGACCCTTCCCTTAGCAGCCCAGTGCTAACCCCACTGCACCGTACGTTGGTGTGGTTTTGTTAGCGGTGGTTGTAGGTGCCATCAGGTCAGTTCTGATTCATAGCAACCAGAAGGAAACAGTGCCGACTCCTCGCCATCCTCACGGTTGCGGGGTGTGAGCCCATCGATGAAGCCACTGTGTCCGTCCATCTTGTTGGCAGCCTTCCTCTTTGTCGCTGCCCCTCCGCTTTACCAAGCATGCTGTCCTTCTCCAGGGACCGGTCTCTCCTGACAACAGATCCTAAGTACATGAGAAGCAAAGTCCTTGCTTCTACGGAGCGGAGCGCCCTGACTGTACTTTCTTCAGAACGAATGTGTTTGTCCTTCTGGCAGTCCGTCATACTTTCAGTAATCATCGCAACACCATCGTTCAAGTACATGAAGTCTCCCTTATTCAATGCCCAACATTCACATGCACACGAGGCGACTGCAGACGCCATGGCTGAGTCAGGCCTGCCTTAGTCCCCCCAGGGGTCCTGTGCTCTGCAGCCTTTCCGAGGGCTCTGCAGGAGACTTGCCGTGTGCTGCCCGCAGAGCGCTGAGGAGGTCGCTCTTTCTTCGAAGCACAGTTACTGCCCTGCGGGGACAGATGGTTGTGTTTGGGTTACTTATTGTCAAGTTAAAAACAAAAACACTTCAAAATGTAGGGACTTGAAACAACAGGGTGTTGTAATTTGTTTTTTCCACTCACAAACATACAACTTGGGCAGGGCTCTGTGGGCGGAAGATCTCTGCTCGGTGCGGCACCCCTGGGATAGCTAGATTCACAGCTGCCAGCCCAGGGCTACGGTGGGGACTCGGTTCCTGTGCCAGGGAGCCTCCGCCCCCGGGGCTTGAGCCACCTCATTGCATGCTGGCCGCTTTCGGAGCCTGAACACCAGCCATGTTCTCCATTGGTCTGCAGTCCGTGCAGGCTCAGGGGCAGGGGGCTTTTAAGGTGGAAGTCCAAAGTTCCGGTGCAGAACCGTCATCATCTGTGGAAAATGCCATTTGCTGCTATTTGCATAAAGGCTTTTCCTGCGATTTTGTAGCTCATTGTTCAAGCACATAGCTGTTTTCCACACCGGGAGTAAAATCCAGGTAACCACAAATATTTAACAGGCAAGTCTGAACCCTGGAGGCGCAGGGTGTCAGGAAATATCAAAAGAGGTGGCCCAGCCCCAGGCAAGGTCAAATGAAAACCCCTCTCCCTAAGTCCTTTTATGGAGTGGTTGCCATGGTGATGGGAAGGGTAGCCAAGGGTCACAGTGAGAGAGGACAAGAGTTGTTGCCCTGATATTGGAGCATATACATCATTTGTCAAGGATCACTCCAAACACACACACATACACACCACACACACACAACCTGCCCAAGGTCTGTTCAGCAGTCCTTGCAGGCTGTAAAAGACTAACGGAATATGCTGATGGCCTGGAGGCCTCTGTCTCCTTCTGAGTGGCTTCGGGCTCCAAGGGAGACACACCTTCTGGATGGTAGGTCACCTCCTCCAGGAAGCCTTCCGGGATTATGCAGCTAAGATCCACACAGCCTCCTCAGTCTGGTCCCTTCCCCGAGCCCCGGCCCGCCCACCCATAAGGACCGAAGTTCGATTTGGGGTACTGAAGGTTCTCAAACCGAGGAGGACAACTTTGTAAAGAGAATCAATAGTACTGGGCTGGATCCGTGACGGCGGGTACAGTGGCAAGTGTCCCAGCACGTGTATTTCGCCACGAGTTCAAGAGAAGAGGCAGGCCGGTCTTGGGCTCTCCAGAGGAAATTTGCAAATACGCGCGTGGCTCATTGTGCAGGCGTCACCTAGCAAGCCTCGGGCTGCGTGGCTTCCTGTGTCCCGCGTGGCTCTGGGCACCACTTTTCCAACAGCGTGGGCTCCCTTGCGTGTCTCTGTCACACTGAGGTCAGCCCCCGCCCAACATTTCGGACTTGGTCGGCATGCGTGCTGCACAGTGTCAGCATCGCTTTGGTAGGCACTAGCCCCACGCAGCCACGTGACTCTGTGTTGTGCCCTTCGCTGTGGCTGTGGTCTGGAAGCCAGCCCACCGTGTCTCCGAGGTGTGGCTGCCCTCAGGCAGACTCATTTCAGTAGAAGAGCAAGGCTATGTGCCCATAGATGCCCATTCGAACCAGCTTGCCTCCCAGATGCTGGAAAATCGCTGGTAGCCTGTGGGAAACAGGAGGGATCAGAGCTTGTCTCCGTGAGCCACTCTCGTGGTCCCCGAGTGGGAATCAGTAGAGGGGGTACACGGGCAATCTGAGGGGAGCATGGCCTTGTTGCTGTGCCATGAGAGTCCATCAAGTTGGCATCACAGTGACCCTACTGTGGACAAGGGAACAACGCTGCCCACCCTGCTTGCGTCCGTCCTCATAATGGTTCGGTTTGAGGCCACTGTTGTAGCCACTGTGTCCATCCATCTCCTGAGGCTCACCCTCACTTTTGCTGCCCCTCTACTTTACCGAGTATGATGTCCTTCTCTAGGGACTGACCCCTCCTGATAACGTGTCCAAAGTGTCTGAGACGGAGTCTCTCCATCCTTGCTCCCAAGAAGCACTCTGGCTGCACAAACAAAGAAAGCGGATTTGTGTGTTCTTCCGCTAGTCCACGGCACTGTCTGGGTTCTTCACCAACACCGTGCTGCGAAGGGGTCTATTCTTGTCTTCCTTGTGCAACTTTCACGTGCCTATGAGGTGCCTGAAAAGTCCCTGGCTTTATCCTCAAAGTGACCTCTTTGCTCTTCGATACTCTGAAGAGGTCTTTGCAGCAGATTTGCCCCGTGCAATTCATCATTGATTTCTGGACAGCCGCTCCACGAGCGAGGATTGCAGATCCCACGGAAAGGAAGCCCTTGGCAATGTTCGTTTGTTGAGAGAGTTGAGTTTACTGTGCCAACCTGGCCCACAAACACATGTGGGGTTAATTGAAGGGCAGAGGGATAAATGGCTCAGTAAGCCTCACCTTTCTAGTTCTCAGGTCTCTTGCTCTCTGATGGTCGGACCAGGGTGCAGCTGCCTTAGCCAGTTCCCTGCTTCAGCTGGCAAGGCTCACTTCCTGCAAGACATCCCCAAGGAGAAGCCGCATGGACCTACCCCGATGCAGCCCTGGGTGCTGGAGCAGCCGTGTGGAGACCCCTGCCAATGCTGAGATGCTTACGCGCTCACTGATTCGGCTTTCCTCCTGCAGTCAGCGTCATTGCCTGTGTTTTGTGAGATGGAGGACTTTGTAGATTTGTGTCGGGCATATGGGCTAATGTTGGACTTGTGGGCTTAGGTAGCACAGGGTTGGGATACTTTCTTAATGTACACTTACTCTTTATATAAAACTCTCTCTTATATACACATGAGTTTCTGTGGATTTGTTTCTCTAATGTACCCAGACTAGCACATTTTTGTCCCTTGTCATCTTGCCTCCTGGTCCCATGATGAGGATTCTGGTTTTCTGGACATTGAGTGGCCACGCAACCTTATAAACACCAAATTGCAGGGTGAACATGATGCCCCGCTTCCTCTCCTTCCACCCTCCCAAGAAACGCAGAGAGCTGGTTGGGGCCGGCTTGATCTTTAACACCTCTCTGCTTGTCCCAAGTTAAGTCCCTATGTGGTGCAGATGGTTAACATGCTCAGCTGCTAATCAAAGGGGTCCCTCAGAAGATAAACCCTCCCAAAAAGCCAGTCATTGGACACTCGATGGAGGCTCGATTGGATGCTCTGACACGCCCAGTGTCACCGTGAGTCAGGGTGGACACAAGGCAAAGTGGGTCATCTCCTTTCATCCTGCCCTAAGGACACCTTCCCTGGAAACTGTATCCACATAGAGTCTAATATCACCATTTTATTTTTACCTAGCGTTTATTTCTGGCCCGTGCTGCTGGCTTTCCGTTTATAGTAGCGATGTGAAGCTTGCTGCTTAAAATATATGACTTTAACTTGAAGGCACGTTGAGTTTATAGTAAGTAAACAACAGCCCCGCTGGAGCGGGCTAGGGGAGAGCTGCACCGGTGGGAAGCAGATGACGTGAGGTTCAGGTAACACCGGGGGGGAAGTTTTATCCTTTTATCAATATTTGAGACAGAACTATAGCCCGCCCTTGAGATGAATTTGACTCATGGCAACCTGGGCACAACTGGCCAACCCGTCTCTCGGTCCTGTGTCACCCTCATGATTGCCAGCAAGTTCAGCGACTGCACCGGTCCATCTCACCCTCCATGGCCCTCTGCCAACAAACAATCCTAATAAGCCCAATGCCGTGGCGTCAATTCTGACTCATCATGATCTTACAGAGGAGAATGTCCCCTGTGGGTTTCCAAGACTGTCAGTCTTTCCAGGGACAGACAGCTTCATCTCGCTCCCTTCACCAAATACCATGTCCTCCTCCTGCAGCCTACACCTCTGACGGGTCCCACGCAAACAAGTCAGACAAGGATGGATGGATGGATGGATGGATGGATGGATGGATAGATAGA